GAATGCACCCTACGTCTTGCAAGCATCTGTAATGATATATCTGTATAATGTATGTACTAATCTATACTGTTACTCTCTAAACATTTTATCGACAATTATCGCTATCGTTAACTAGTGAGAGCTGCACTTTCTTCCAGGATTATCTTGCCATTGGCTGTCGCTAGTTAACGATAGCGTCAGTTGACTGTTAATGGCAGAATCAATCAGCAATCGCTTCAGAAGCGATCAGATTCTATTCTAGAAACTATAGTAATAAGTATATTTACCCGTATTCATAGTCCTTCCTTGAGGAATGAGGATTCCTTGATCCTTATTTCATGTTTCATAAACTTTCCTTGACCAAACAAGGAGTCTTATTAGCTTCCTTTTCTCAAGGAAAGTTACAAATTTCCTTGAGGAAGAGGTGCAATCTTCATAATCAATCAAACTATCAAATTTAATTCATCACACTGATTTTTTTATTTTCGATAGCTTTTAATTTAGATCTGTCGCATCGATAATTATTTTCGATAGCTTTTTTTCGGAAATAAACTGTGTCAAAAGTATTTTCTCCTTCTTCGTATAATATTATGACGAATCCGATTGGAAGCATTGATGCATATTAAAGCCGTTGTACACTGATTTGAGTATAAAAATAAAATGCAAATATTTCGAATTATGAAATACATATTTTACCTAACAGTACAATAAAATATATTGAATATTTCTATTATAATTTAATCGATTTCCATGTTTATAAACATATATTTACGTTATTTTATGTATATACGACAGTTTTAATGTGCATCAGTGCGCAGTGAGTGCGTCCAATCAAATTCGCTATTAGTTTCATTTTTATCCATTGTTGCAAAATATTAAATAAGGAAGGACTATCACCTGTATTCATAGTGCTTTCTTATTTTAAAGATAGAAGGAGCCTCTAGAGAAGCCTCTGAAGAATTCCTCGATTTTCCAAGGCTTCCTTGTTTCATAAAGATAGATCTCAAGTCTGCTTCCTCGAAGGAAGGAATATTGTAGGTATTTTACCTACAATAACTATTATATTGCCTAACCTAACTGAAGGTAGCATGTCATAATACAATAATACATGCAATATATCTAATATCGTAAATTATGAATAATAAAGGTTATAAAGGCATTCTTAATTAAATAATTCTTAATTAAATAAGATCGTGATTAAGCATTTTGCAACAATAATAGACAAAAATAAAACTAATAGCGAATTTAATTGGACGCACTCATTGCGCACTGATGCACATTAAAACTGCCGTACATACACAAAATAACGTAAATATAAATTTATAAATAAACATAGAAATAGATTAAATTGTGAAATACTCAATACATTTTATTGTACTGTTAGATAAAATATATATTTTATAATTCGAAATATTTGCATTTTATTTTTATACTCAAATTAGTATACAATGGCTTTAATATGCATCAGTGCTTCCAATCGAATTCGCCATAATGCTTATTATACAAAGAAGGAGAAAATGTTTTTAGATGTATTTATTTCCGAAAAAAAAAAGCTATCAAAAATAATTATTGATGCGTCAGATTTAAATTAAAAGCTATCGAGAGTAAAAAGACCGGTGTGACGAATTAAATTTGGAGATTTGCTTGGTTATGAAGGCTACATCTCCTCAAGGAAATGCGTAGTCTACCTAGAAAAAGAAGCTAATAAGAAGGTTCCTTGTTTGATTAAGGAAAGTTTATGAAACATGACATGAGGAACAAGGAATCCTCATTCCTTCCTCAAGGAATCACTATAAATACGGGTATTAGTAGCATATTATTCGTGCAATGAAGATTTTTTTTATAATGAAGAAAGTAGCTCATGACAAATTTTCTTCATAGTCACAAGTTATAGGTTATGCGATTTGACGGAATACATACTTACTCAACAATTTATGATGAAAATCTTCTTTACCACTTTGAAATGATACTTTCAAAATACTATTATTTATTTTAAATTAAATTGGAGGGATTTTTATAACTTTTAAATGATTAATTTCTGTAAACTGTAAACGAAAAATGTCAACATTTGAGAAATTAAAAATGGCACGCCACTAAGCGCATCCATTAAGTCGCGAGTGTTACATATGGGCGTTCAAAAATTTGCACTGTCCATAAACTCGAGCAATGCCATCTCAACTCGATGAGATTTCGATGAGAGTTTCTAGTGCGCATTCAGTGCATCCCAATATATATTTTGGTCAAATGCATGACATTAAATATTTAATTAAAAGTAGACTCTCAAATGTTTTTAATGGTACTTTATAACTCTTCATACAAAATACAAATAATTCCATGCATGAACATTGTTGAATTTAGATCCGGCTGATTATTTCGGTCAAGTCACATACATAGTCCAAAAAAGATTCATTAATTATAATTAATAGAATGATTCACAAACTTTTTTAATTACTACAAAACTCTTTATGCGAAATATATATAATATATAATCGATATAAAATACTAATTTTTAGAACCGGAGGTTGCGTTCGGTCATGTACATTTGAATTACGTTTATACGGCTATGCAAGTTGTGTAAATATTGAGTCTTCTAAAAAGTATCCGCGGTTTTTTGTCACTAGATGTGTGTTGATGGTCATATATCTAGTGACAAAGTACCGCGGATACTTTTTAGATGACCCAATATATTCTAGTGATAGGAACGTGCAATGCGAACATACTATTTTAGGGTGCATAATAAAAGGAATAGGGAACAGAGAATAAAAATTTCAACCTATCAGAATCTGTGTATTCCACAATACATGATTTCTGATAGGTTTAAATTTTTATTCTCTGTCTCTGTTCTTTTCATTATACGCAGCTCCTTAAGCCGGTTCTGCATTAGTTGCAAATTGATCGCAAGTTTATTGCGACAGCCAATATGAAGCGTTGATTTCAAAATGCAAGCTCAGATTGGCTGTCGCAACAAACTTGCGATCGGCTTGCAACTAATGTAGAACCGGCTTTATACAATCAAAACTCTATTATAATTTTGGCCCTGTATATAATGAAGGAAATATTAGAAATAAGAATGTATATTAAGATTTCAACCTATCAGAAACCGCATATTCCGATGTAACTAATAGGTCGAAATCTTAATATCGAATGCATTTAATTAACCAATCGAAAGAAAGAATTTTACTTTAATTACCAATCAAAAAATGCTTCAAAGCATTCATAGCAGCAACTCGACTGCATCCTGTGTAACTTTTTCGCTAGAGCGGAAACATGAAAAGTGAAAATTTTTATGTATGTACGTATATGGCTCCCGTACACAGACGCGGTAACATTTTCCGCGCAGCGGAATAACCAATAATTTTATGAGTTATTATGAAGGAGATAGCCGACCAATTTTTATGAAATTAGACTCATTCAACGCGTTTTTATACCAAATGAACGAATGTGGTAAAAAAAAGTGTCGCACTGTCGCAACCGAGATATTAAACGTTAAAGTTGATGATTATGGAGGTTAGGAAATCTATCATATCAACTACATGTAGCGTTATGAATATGTTTCTTCATGTTCTGTGATCTCTTGCGCATGTGTTTAGTCACTATTTCATACAATAGAGTGCACAAAATTTAAAATCAAATTAAAAAATGAATGTTATAGCTCTTGCAACGCAATGCGCAACATGCGATACGTGACGCGCAACATCCTAGGGATATATACTTATTGGACTGTATTCGAAAACGTATCCAGAACACTCATGTATTATTTATCCTCGTTTAACATTTGGTGAACAACAAAGATAAAATGATAATACATAGATGCACTCGAGTGAAGGCAACTTGGATGTCGCGCGTCGCATATCGCATGTCGCACATCGCACTGGTGTGCAAGAGCCATTACTTGTTCAATGTTTCTATTATACATAATTCTATTCCAAATAAATTATATTCCAAATAAATCATAACTCATGTGGACAGTGGAGTATGTAGACAGTAACGTTTGAGTACGGGTGCTATTGGTGTAACAGATTTCCTAATCTCCATAGTCGTCAACTTTAACGCTTAATATCTCGGTTCGCAGGGCAGAGCGACACTTTTTTTTGCCACATTCATTCATTTTGTGCAAAAACGCGTTGAATGAGCCTAATTTCATTAAAATCAATGAGGTCGACTATCTCTTTTATAATTAACATTCTGTGTTCTTCACCATGTAAAACTTCTAAAAATGATGTATCATTTCCACTGCGCGGCAAAAGTTGAATTAAGTTAAATTTTTGTCGCGCGGTGGAAATTATATATTGGCTCTTCTAAAAAGTATCCGCGGTACTTTGTCACTAGATATATGACCATCAATACACATTTAGTGACAAAAAATCGCGGATACTTTTTAGATGACCCAATATCTTGGCTTCTGCACGCGGAAACGTTTGCCACGAGGCAAAATGAGACGCGGTAACCAATGAATATATTAGGAGCTATAAGCTTATTGGCTACCGCATCACATTTCCACATGTGCTCCACAGCTCCAGTGTGCTGGAGCCATAAGTGAGACGTTGATTGGCTATTGCGCCAACTTCGGCTGCGCGGCCGGCGTTGCCGCGTTCTATATGCGGGTCAATACGCACACATACAAAGAATGTTCACTTTTCACGTTCCGCCCTAGGGAAAAAGTTACATGATCGCTACCCTATTTCTAATATTGGGTCATCTAAAAAGTATCCGCGTAGTATTTTTTGTGTTAGTGTTGATGGTCAACCATCTAGTGACAAAAAATCGCGGATACTTTTTAGATGACCCAATATTTGTTTTATTGTGTGCCCTTACGTGACGTAAACTATAGAATTTTGGTTACATAGGTGTGGTCAAAGTCTCACTACAAATACAATACTTTGAAGTATTTGATGGACCAATTAGAAGAAAGAATTTTACAAACTGACCAATTAAAAAACGCTTCAAAGCATTTGCAACATCGCATTGACTGTACCCAATAGTCACATTTTTTTTTATGTTTTAGAACGCACCTGAATGTATTACTCCTCGGCATCGTCCGTTATCTAGTCAACTGGTTTCGCGTTGCAACCAGTTGCAACATCGAATTTGTTGATCGACCGTTTTGGGTCGTTGTCGCCTTGTTAGGCGTGTACTCATTTTAAATTCGTTTTGGACTTTAAAATAAAATAAAAGCACAAAGAAGGTTCCAGACTGTGAATCTTGAGACATGATACGAACCACGTCGAGAATACGTAACGAATTGATATGTGCAATCTTCCGTGGTTCCGTGCGAACCAGCACCAAATCCATAGTCGTTCGGTATCTTCACAGAAAACATCAACAAAGGTATTATATCGGATATTCGAGATCATCCTCGTGTTCGAATTCTTTTACAGGTCTTCCAAATATTGTACACAAAGACGATCTTTATTATAGGTTATTTTACGTCAATTTCAATGCACGAACGACCAGACCTTCTTCTTTTAAAGCATAATATTTGAGTTTTAGTCTCAGAATAATTCTTTTAAAAGTTATATAATCATTATCCGATATGCACAAAAAAAATGCATGATGGTACAATATTGATTTTCTCAATACTTCAGACTTCAGCTTTACAGTGCTTTGCGTTTTATCTCGACACCATGGCAACAACAGCTCAGGTTCTATGTTGATTATCCTAATCATATCAAGGTCCCGCTTCCAGCATTGTCTCCTACCATGGAAACAGGAACAATAATCAGCTGGCAGAAGAAGGAAGGTAAGACCATCTTGCAGTATTGACATAACAGATACAGATTTTAATTGTTAAAAAGAAAATTATTTGTTAAATACATCGATCAATTTCTTATATTTGGTCCATTAGGTGACAAGTTAAATGAAGGTGATCTGCTAGCAGAGATCGAAACAGATAAAGCTACCATGGGATTTGAAACTCCTGAGGAAGGTTATCTAGCCAAGATCTTGGTACCTGCGGGAACAAAGAACGTACCTATAGGCAAACTAGTTTGCATTATTGTACAAGATGAGTCTAATGTAGCTGCATTTAAGGACTTTAAAGATGATACAATGGCTGCACCTCCTCCTAAACCAACAACTATAACACCTGCATCGCCAACTATAACAACACCAGTAGCTCCATCTGTATCAGCTGTGGCAAAAGTTCCTTCTATCGTGCCACCTTCCAAAGAAAGAATATATGCCAGTCCATTAGCAAAAAAATTAGCGGCTGAAAAAGGACTTAGTTTACAGGTGCTGCAAGATTGCTTTATAAATTAAAAGAATGGAAGCAAGTATGAGCCAATTTGCTTCTCTATTTACTTCCACTCTTTTAATTTGATTTCTGTAACATTTTTCTTTATTATTAACTTATATTAATATTGAATTAACACATTATATTCTTATGAATAATTTGTAGAAATAAAACTTATTCTTTATATATTTTGACTATTCATTAGGGCCTAAAGGGAACAGGATTGTATGACTCTATAACATCCAAAGATTTGGAAGGTGCGGTAGTACAGCCATTACAACCAGTGATAACTAGCATTGGCGCACCAACTGGAATAGATATTCCTATATCAAATATACGTGCAATTATTGCTAAACGTTTGTCGGAGAGCAAGCAGACGATTCCGCATTATTATCTCTCGGTAGATATAAAAATGGATCCTGTATTGGCGATGCGAGAACAGTTTAATAAATTGTTAGAAAAGGACAAAATCAAATTAAGTATAAATGACATTATCATCAAAGGAATGGCAATGGCTTGTAAAAAGGTACCAGAAGGTAATAGCGCCTGGTTAGGAAATATAATTCGACAGTAAGTATTTTATAATATTATATAAACAGTAATATGTAGATTACTATTTTTATTATTTTTTATGTTTTTATATTTATGTATTGAATATTTGTATTTAATTCTACTATGTTTGAATATGTTTATTGTTTTATATATTGAATATTATCTTATCTTCTTTTAGATATAATAATGTGGACGTTAGTGTAGCAGTAAGCACAGATAGCGGTCTAATCACTCCCATAGTGTTTGGTGCTGACGTAAAAGGTATAGTTCAAATCAGTAAAGATGTGAAAGCATTGGCTATGAAAGCAAGAGAAGGAAAATTAAAACCGCATGAGTTTCAAGGAGGAACAATTACCGTGTCCAATCTGGGCATGTTCGGAATTAAGAATTTTTCTGCTATAATAAATCCTCCACAGTCTATCATTCTTGCTACAGGTGTTACAGAAGCTAGACTGATACCTGCCAAAAATGAGAAAGGGTAAAAAATTATAATTATTTTATAACATTTCTAGACAAATTTAATGTGTCGTTTATGACATATATTAATACCCAAATCTTTGCAGATTTACCACTGCCCAATATATGTCTGTAACTGCTAGTTGCGATCACCGTATAGTTGATGGTGCAATAGGCGCACAATGGTTAACCGCTTTTAAGGATTTGATGGAAAATCCAACGACAATGCTTTTATAGTAAGTTAAATCGTCTATTTATCAATTGAGTGATTCGAATGGCAAATAATACATAAATATATACATATATATATAATTTTTCAAAAATGAAAGTTTATTGATTCCTGTATGTTTAATAATAACATACATTATTTGTATTTTTTATATAAATACGTATTCTAATACTTTTTAACTCGAACTTAATTCTTGGTGTATATCTTGTTTGTTTCAGAAATGTTACTTTGGACAAAAATACGATCTACACATAATTAAAGGGATGTTTCAGAAGTAATATATTTAGGAATTATTTCTTGTAACTAAGACTTCTTTAATGTTAATTCGGTTATTATTTCAAGTTTTTCAAAAAAGTTATATCATACAAAATATTATCTCTTGTTCTTAAATGTGTGTGGATGAGAGAAGATTTTGAATTCACTATAATAAGATTAATGAATAATTTGGATTTGCTATTTTATTTGACAAGTTGGAAAATTATAAATTTATTATCGCCTAGCAAAACTGCCTCTAAAAGTGATCATGTGTATATATGTATATTTATAATAATTAGTAATTCAATTGTTGCAAAAAATATGATTACATTTTAAGAGAAGTAATGATAAAAGTGTCCAAAATGTTTATAGTAATTATATCATATTTAATAAATTATCTTTTATGACATGTATTTTATAAATATTTATCCACTTTGTATAATTTTGTATAATTTTTTAAAATTTTAGCTCAGACTGAGTAAGACATTTTTTTGTTATTCATGGATCTAATGAAATTCTAAAATCGTCTTTTTTTTTACTCAATAGGATTTACACATACATATATGATTTATGTATCATTGACACATGGGATGTGTTCGTTTATTCTATCTGTGGGGTAAGAGCGACTCGATGGACGAGTCGGATTCTCTAAACGAGCCCACGCTCGTTGTATAACGTGATGGAAGGCGTAAAGATCGACCACTCTTCTTATAACAAGTAACAATGAATTTTATTCCTGGAGCACGTGTGAATACATCCGTACAGGACGAGCGCCGTAACGTATCTCACTTCTCTGGCGCTGCTTGTAGGCAACTCCTATCTACTAAATCTCTAGGCTTTCTCCGCGCGCTGCTAGTGAGGTATTGGGAACGTAGTTCCCTACATATCCCCACATATCTATTGTATAAAGACGACTGCAGCGCAGTTTCTCGTTCGTTTATGCATGTATATCATCTGCGCAACTATCTCGGAGATCCTACTCAGGGTGCTCTACTCGCAGTACTGCCATTACTGTGTAAAGTAAAACGAACGACAGTGCAGTCTCGCCCTCGCCTTCGTAGATTGGATATCTATATAGCTGTTCGTAATATCGCCAGCTAATAGCTGGTAGTATATTACTGAAAATGAATTTTATTAAAATATCAAGTGAAAAGGTTGAAGAATTTGTAAAAATCGATCCTAGTAAAGTAAAAATAATGCAAGAGATATATAGTAGAAAAATTGTAAAGTTTGCTAATTCGTATTTACGATAATAAATTTATATATAATAATATAAATATACGTAAATATGTGTGCCTTCCAACAAGCGACACAAATGACACGGTGTGACACAATGGATCATTACATCCTTGTTGTTTGCCAATGTTAAACAAAGATGATTACTATGTCGCACTGTCACTTGTTAGAAGGCACTCTATATAAATCTTACTATTGTCAAAGGTACGGCCCACCGAGCGCACGGCGCGCGGGCCGCGAGGAGCGGGAATGGCCTAGCAGGCGCGCCGCGCCCTTTGAGCTTAGATGCTCGCGACGGTAAGCCCCGCTCCTCGCGGCCCGCGCGCGGTGGGCCGTACTTTCGGCAATAATTGGTCGGGAGGACGTGCATATTCGGTTATCTTTAAATGTTAATATCTCGTTTATT